CCTCTTCCGTCGGGGGGGGGGGGGGGGGGGGTGGTCAGATTTTGACAAGAAATTCACGTGGTCGTGATAACTCCACTTAACGCTCTGGTGGCCTGACAACAACAAACACCGCGCATCGACGCACGCGCGCGCGCGCACACAACCGGACACACAAAGCAACAAACGTTCCACGCTGCGCCCCTTCGCCTTTTGTTCGGCGTATTTATCGCCTTAAAGCAGACACGGAGTCTCATCAAAGTGCGCGCCCCCTGAGAATGTGTATCTGCGTGTCTTTTGTGCGTCGTGTGGTGCGCGTGTCTGTGTGCGCGCGGTGTTTGAGCCCGTGGGTGCGTGTATGTGTGTGTGTGAGATTGTGTGTGTTTGTGTGTTAGGTGCTCGCTAACAGCACTTGCCCCTACAGTATGTTAAGGCTATATGGGGGATCTTTGTTTGTGTGTATGTAGTGGGGAGCGGTCGTGTGGCGGTTTAGCGGATGCTGCCTGCGTTACTAACCCGGCGACCCGAGTTCGATTCCCGCTCACTGCCAACAACGGTGACGAATATCGGAACCGGTCCTGTGCCTCCCCTAGGGCGACTCAAATGAGTGCCTGGTGCGACGTGTAAACATCGCCACCGGGGGAGACAAAGGCGGCCGGTGCGTGGTTGTTGGCCCACCCACCCCCTCGTGCGCCGATGCCGGCCTTCATAGCTGCTCGCTAACAGCACTTGCCCCAACACTCGTCTGAGGCTATACGGGTGGTGGCATCTTTGTCTCTGTATGTGGGGAGGGGCAGTGTGGTGGATACGGAACCCGGCGACAGGAGTTCGATTCCTGCTCGCGACCAACAGCGGGTGACGGTTTTCTGAATCGGTTCTGTGCCTCCCTTGGGTCGACTCAGCGCTCAATTGAGAACCTGGGGGTGGGTGGGTGGGGGACGGGCGGACGGACGGTGTGGGCTTTCTTAAAACAAGTGGTAACGTGAGGACGTCACCTGAATCTCCAGAGACATTTGCAGATGTCGCACGTGTCTTCGCATTCTCCAGACGACACGCGCTCACGTTTGAAGTGGATTCATGCGAGGGCCTGCAACAATTCACCCACCTCGCGCTCCGACGGACGGCGAGGATTGCATTGGCAGCAATGCGATTTTGGTCGTGCGAGCGTCATTTATGTAGCCGCATGATGCACGGTTGCGCAATCCGCAACACAAAGAGGCGCGCACGTGGGAAGGTGTTTTCAGAAACATGAAAGATGAGCCGTTTACTCACGTGGAATGGGGGTGTGGGGGGGGGGGAGAACACGGAGAAAACTCCACGCGTGCGAGGGGGTAACGCTCTATCCCACACAGCTCGGACAGACAATATTATTCTGCCTCCTCTTGGCGAGCCAGGGTGCGGCACCTCCTCGAACAGGAACCAAAGTTGGAACAGATGGAGATTAGTCCACACTGTGCTATACCGCCGTCTCCTGGCTAGTCCGAGTATGGCAACTCCTTGACGCGAACAGCACTTACCCCAACAGTCTCACGCATGCGTACGCACCCAAAAGTAATTGTCGACGACATTGCCTCCACTGTGCGACGTAATACAAATTTTAGGCTGAGTGGACCAAGGGGGATGACCCACGTAAGACGATTTCCAAGACAATTTTGAATCAGACACCTGCTTGGGATGGTTGGTGTACAGGGTGCTTCAAAACATTGGAACACGACTGAGCATTCGCAACAACGCCACGTGACACGTGCTGCTGCCTCCGGGCTCTGGAGACCGCCCGAAGAAGATTCCAGGCACGTGTTGACAATGATGGCGAACAAGTGGGAGACTCTTTGAAGCTATTAACATACATTTGTTATCATGTTACTGTTCTTTTGCCATTAAAAACGATAGTTCCATGTAAGTGTTCACATTTTTTTAAAGCACCTTGTGTGTGTGTATATATATGTGTGTGTAGTGTGCTTCAGGGGGCAATGGGCGGAGGAGTAGTGGCATAATGATTAGCACACTGCGTTCTGTGAACCAATCCTTCACCCCCCCCCCCCCCGCTCACTCTTCACCAACTCACACTGAACGGCATGGTGAAGTATGGCCAAACAAGCTCCACTACTGACACATGCATAGGGAGGCTTTCATTGAGCAGTGGACTGACACAGGGGCTGTGATGTATTTATTATTATGTGTCGACTGCACCATGCGTTTGGAAAGGGTGGGGGTGCGGAACATTTAAAACAAGTGCTCATTGATACCTGAACAACCTAATTGCCGTACTGCCTCATAATACAGTCATTGTCAGTCACCTTTGGGGCCGTCCATAAATGACGTCACGCACCTGGGGGGGGGGGGGGTCAGACATGTGTGACGATGTGTGACGAGGTGGGGGGGGGGGGGGGGTTGACAAATGTGACGTCATATCAAAAGTTTAACGTTAAATAAATATAGACAACACGTTTCATTAAATAGACTTTTTAATAAATGTTTCTCCTACAACATCAGAGTGCAGCGCCACATTAAATAAGCACTAGAATGACAATAGTTTAAAGCGATTTGAAGCATGTTGTATATATTTTTTTTGGGGGGGGGGCAGAGCTTTGTGACGTCATATTTGAGGGGGGGCCTGACTTTTTGTGACGCCGTGTGGCGACGATGGGGGGGGGTCAAACATCGCTTTAAATCGCGTGACGTCATTTATGGACGGCCTCTTTGCTGCCCGTGCTGGTGGTGGGTGTCTCACACACCACGTGATCGTAATCCCCGCGTGATCCACCGGCCTGCACCTCCAAAGCCGCGGACTTAGAGAGGCGCTTCACCACCGCTCTGGACGGACGCTGCGATCGATCGACGTCCATGAGACTTGGCGGGAGGGCCCATTGAGATCCGCCGACTTATTTCGCAAAAAGAGAGACAAATTAATGCGGGAGCAGAGCTAACGAGGCTGTATGCACAACTTAAGAAGCTAATCCCAAGACCAACAATTGCACCTACCCTAACCCCAGGCACAAAGCCTAACGCCAACACTTTACCTTCCCGAACCCAAGCCTCAACGCTAACCCCACACCGATATTCCATCCCAGGCTAAGACCACTCGCATTCATGGCCGTAGAATCTCGTAGTCCGAAGGACCATGTGTTGTTCGCGAGCACCTATTAACGTCGTTCGGCACTGCGACATGCAGGGGTGGTCCGGTGCATCATCACTCGCGCCCGCCGCCTTTGTCTTCCGAGGGCTGAGTTTATTCTTCACATCACCCTGGCGTGCCGGGTATTCATTTTAGGCTGAACAGATCCAGCGGTTGCCTGGGCCGACACAGGTTTATTATTGCCAGTTTGCCACCGGCAAACGTTCTCGCTAACCACAAGAACGAGCACGTGTACACATCGCGTTCTATCAATCCGCTGCTGCACGAGGGCCTCCCCGCACACGCTGATGCGGGTCGTGGGGCTGTTCTCGCCATACTTCACCACACCGGTGAGCGTGCGGGATGGCAGGGGGAGATGACGCGGGAGGAGAGAGGACAGTCCCACAGTGGAGTCCGCTCAACTGACCCCACTGCTGCCCACTACGTGGGTCAAGACCCTGCAGACGTCAATGACAACCCGGCACGCGGCGGTGACCGCCCATCCAGGAACCATCCAGGCTCAGACCCGCTGAGCTTCCGGGATGTGATGAGACCGGGCGCATCCTGGGCCACTCGGTCACAGGCAATGACGCCAGTCTCAAAATATCACCCCAAATAGGAACACTATTCTATACGCCAAAAACCTATCCGTTACGATAATGCTTTCCGTATTCTAGCCTTAGCACCAACAATTATAATTGTCCGGTAATTATCAGATAGTTTCGATAGACCTTTCGATTCTATAGCTCTAGCTTTCACCTGAAAACTACTTTTGCTTAATCCTGTACCTAGCATTAACACCAAGTCCCAACACCAAGCACGGACGCAAATACTGACCCATAAACCTAGCACGACAGCTTATCCTATCCTACCATAAACCTTAATATTGACCCATCAGTCTAACACATGCTTTCCCATTCAATTGCGTGCAGACAGACCAGCTTCTTTTGTTCGTGGCCGAGTCCAGGCATGTCACAGAACAATTAACGGGTGACTTCAACAAAGTGGTACTTATGTTTTGGACCCTGGAGATGTGAAGGGCTGCGGGATTAAACCTGAGAGTGTTTGTTGACTGTGAGCAGTGCCCTAACCACTGTGCCACCCATCCCATCGCTAATCATGACTGTAAACAATCCCTCTACCCATAACCCGATCGATGACCACATCCTAACCTAACCCTAATATTATCACCAACCTCGACTCCTAACACTAACACCCAGCCTCTACTCCCACACCGAATATTAATCGTTATCTCTAACGTCAGTCCTAACCTGTAATCCCTGAACCTCACACTTGTCAATACCTAACCCTCATCGTACCATCGTCTCCTAACCCAAGCTCAAACTTTAACCCCAACCTCTACTGCTAATTATATCCTCTACTCCCGCCCCTTGATAATAAAACCAACTTCCATTCGTAACCCGAATCCCAACCTCGACTCCTATTGCTAATATTGGCCCTATAACATCTACTCCTATTGCTAATATTGGCCCGATAACCTCTACTTCGAGTGCAATTAGCCCCGACCTCTCATCCTAACCCCTATATGCAAATTAACATCCCCTACAGATCCTCCCTCCCTCAGCTCGCTCCCCTCGCTCCCCTCCCTCCTCTCCCTCCCTCCAGCTGGTGTCACGATGCATTATCTCTCTCGCTCGCTCTTCCAGCCTCTGCCTATTAACGCCGTGTTGCATTCAGCACCTTTAAGTGCCGGACACGATTGTAGCCCATAAAGGCAAATGCGAGAGGAGGGACGGGGGGGGGGGGGGATGCAGGAGGGGGTGCACTCCAAAGAAAGCCACCGCTCTCCGTGATGCTAGGTTCGCTCCCTCCTTCCAGGTCGTGCGGTTACGCCAGGCAGCGAACGAGGGGATTTTGACACTGGCCGGAATAGCATTCAACCCTGTGTGCCATCGCCAGAATCCTCCACCATCCTCTTCAATCCTTGCATCGCTCCTCCCCATTTGACTTTGGTCTGCCTCCATCCCTCCCTCTCACTCCTCCCTCCCTCTCCCTCGTTCTATCCCCCCTCTCTCTCTCTCTCTGCCGTGTGCACCGCGCATTCATTCGCACATCACCCACGCTCGCGAGAGAGCGACCGAGAAGAGAGCTAGAGAGAGGAGAGGAAAGACGGGACCCCGTTGCATTATAAAGCCACCGGGAAGGGAGGATAAAAACCCTAATCTGCGATAGCCTATATTTTCACACGCACACACATACACTACCGTTATCACCATCAGCATCAGCAGCAGCCTCATCAGCGTAGGAATAATCATCGTAAGAAGCAATTGGTAAGAGCGGGAGCACGGGCAGAGAGAGAGAGAGAGTCGGGGTGCAGAGACGCAAGGACGTTCTGTGTCGCGCGCATCACCGCGGCCAGAGAGCGCACGTGTGTCGAGTGAGAGGAAAGAAGAAGAGAAGCGGAGAGAGAGACGAAGGGGAGAGAGAGAGAGAGGGGGGAGAGGGGAGAGGGACACACGCATCTGCTGCCTGAGAGCGGTTGCCTCGCCGGAGCCAACGGGAGATTATGACCGGAACTTCGGATGAATCTCCGTCGCGGAGCGGCGCACCTGAGCCGGTACACACATACCTGTGCAGATGCACACGTGTGCACACCCACACATACCTGTGCAGATGCACACGTGTGCACACCCACACATACTTGTGCAGATACACACGTGTGCATACCCACACATACCTGTGCAGATGTACACGTGTGCATACCCACACATACCTGTGCAGATGCACACGTGTGCACACCCACACATACTTGTGCAGATACACACGTGTGCATACCCACACATACCTGTGCAGATGTACACGTGTGCATACCCACACATACCTGTGCCGATGCACACGTGTGTACACCCACACATACCTGTGCCGATGCACACGTGTGCACACCCACACATACTTGTACAGATGCACACGTGTGTACACTCACCCGCGCATATATACCTGTGCGTACATACATGCGCACACGCACCTATGCTTACCCACACATAAATGTACATAATTTGCATTCGTATATGTGCATGCATACCTGTGTATACATGTTTTCACTTACCTACCATCACCATCAATCATTAGTTCTCCACTGCTGAATACCTCGCCCACACACACTCGTGTACATATATGCCTATCCGTATGCAAACGCACACGTGCATGTGTATACTCGCCAATGCATATTCAAGACAAAGATTCCCGTACAGCCTGAACAGACTATTAGGGCAAGTGCTGTTAGCGAGCACCTATGAAGACCGGTACGGACCGCGCCCGAGGAGGGCTGTGTGGCCGCTACCACCACGCTCGGCCGCCTTTGTTTACAGATCGCAATGAGCACTCGTCTGAGGCCGAGTCGAACTCAACTGGTTCAGATTGTAATTTGTGACCGATGTTAGCCGTGGCCGATAACCGAACCCAGGTCGCCGGATTCGTAGCGCAGTGCGATGACCACTCCACTACCGCTCCCTCCCCACACACACACACATATATACACACACAAACGTGCACACACAAGCAAACATACCCATCCTGCCGGACGCCCTCAAGGTCAGTGCCCGTCTAGGTGCACCCAGTAACCCGACCGCGCATCTCTCCGCGATTCGCGCCTCATTGTGGCTCTGGCTACACGACGTGTCCCCTTTTCCCCGTGCCCCCGTGTCTCCGCGTCTCCGTGTTCCCGTGACTCCCCCGTGTCCCCGTATCCCGGTGATTCCGTATCCCTGTGACTTCCTGTGTCCCCGTGTCTCCGTGACTCCCCCGTGTCCCTGTATCCCCGTGACTTCCCCGTGTCCCCGTGACTCCCCCGTGTCCCCGTGACTCGCCGTGTCCCCGTGACTCCCCCGTGTCCTTGTATCCCCGTGACTTCCCCGTGTCCCCGTGACTCTCCGTGTCCCCGTGACTGCCCGTGTCCCCGTGACTCCCCGTGTCCCCGTGAATTCCCCATGAATTCCCCGTGACTCCCCCGTGTCCCCGTGACTCCCCGTGTCCCCTTGACTCCCCGTGTCCCCGTGACTCCTCCGTGAATTCCCCGTGACTCCCCCGTGTCCCCGTGTCTCCGGGTTACCGTGTAAGAGTGGCTCTTCCTGTATCCGTGACTCTGCTCTCCCGCGCCTACTCGTCCCCTTACTCCGTCTCTGTGCACCCGTGTGCCAATGTACCCGTGTCTCCGTGTCTCTGTCTCAGTCCGTGTCTTGGTATATCCACTGTCTCACTCCTCCGTGTCCCCGTGTCACCGGTTCTCTGTCTCCTCCGCGAATCGCGCGGAGGAGCGGTACCTTGGAGAGCGCACAGACGCGGAGGTGACGGCCCAACCCCAACTCGATCGCCAGCCCCAACCCTAACCCCAACACGCGTCGGCAAAGTCTCCACCGCGTGCTGTTTATTGACCAGCTCTTGACTCTGTCGCGACCTTGTCAGCTCTCCTGTCCTTCTCCTCCTCAATAGATCTCTCGTCTCTACCCCTCTACCCCCACTCCCCCGTCGCTCACCAACTCTCCTGACACTCTCCCTACATCTCACCAGTTAACTTGTCTCACTCTCTCTCTCTCTCCCCTCCCCATCGCGCTCGCTCTTCGAGTCTCTCGACAATCACATCAAGTCTCTTTCTTCCCTCTCCACAATCCTCCCAGCTCTCTATAATATCTCCTACACCACCGCCACATCATCTTAATCTCTCTCCCATATCTTTTTCTGTTTCACGAGAACGCTATTTTCTCATCTCTATCTCACTGACTCTCTGGGTATCTCTCCAACGTCGGCTATTTATAATTTTCCATAGCCCTATTTATAATCTCTGGTGACAGAAATAAAAAGAAATGCGTTATCGATGGTGTGCAAGGACGACTTTTAAAATGATCACGTTCGCATGATGGGAACACGCATTACTAGCCTCTAGTGGCTGCAGATCCCGAGAGCATATATTTCCAAATTACTGTACCTTGGAAATCTCTAGGGTATTATCTGTCCTTAATTGTACGTGTTAATAAATGCAGACACCGACAAAAAAAGGACACTCATTATATTTTATCGGTGTAATTATATGTGTGTGTGTATGTAACGCAACAAAGACAAAGATGCGCCGTGTAGCCTTTACATACTGTTGGGGCAAGTGCTGTTAGCGAGCGCCTATGAAGGCCGGCACGGCACGCGAGGGGGTGGGTGGGCCAGCACCACGCCCAACCGCCTTTGTCTCCTTAGTGGCGATGTTTACACGTCGCACCAGGTACTCATCTGAGGCTGAGTCGACCTAGGGGGGAGGCCCATGACCGGTTCAGATAATCGTCACTGATGTGAGCGGCAATCGAACTCGGGACGCCGGGCTCGTAGCGCAGCGCCCTAACCGCTACACTACCGCTCCCCGCACATTACACACCACACTCGACCACATCTGCACAATGAGAGAGACAGAGAGAGAGAGAGACGCATACACAAGGCAGCGAGAGCTCTCAAGTCGCGTGCTCGCTGCGATCGCAGAGCTTCCTTCCACGTGCTCGACGTGAATGGAAGATGGCCCCACTTTAAGCGAATACAAAAAAAAAAACAGGCCGCTTACTAAAGCCACCTCCTTCACTGGCAATTTTTTTCTGTAAGATAAATAAAGACATGGAATGATACAAGAGGTCCGGATATATTTGACCCTGCATTGAGTGGGGGATTTTTTAGTTTTTTTAATGGGGGTGAAATATGTTGTCTCCGTTCCATTTGATCACATTCCGAACGTATTTTCGTACAGAACATATCTCGACACATTTTTTTCTCCCTCTCTCTCTCCCCTGGGCATTATGAGCTCAGTGACGCCACATTTGCTCCATCCTCCGCTCGTCTCATCATCACAAATCAGCCGTTTCCTTCCCCTCGCTCGCTCCAATGTTTACGCACGGCACTGGGTACAGTGCTGGATTCATTCAAGGCTGAGTCGACCTAGATGGGGTCGACGACAAGTTTTTATTGCATCCATGCATGCCCTAACCGTGGCTATACCAGTAGTAGTAGCTTAATCACTAGAGTTAAAAATGTGCAGAATGTTTTTCTTTCAATAAAAAATAAGTCTTTTTTACGGTGATTTTCAGATCTTTGTTAATCCAATTCCGGATCAGAGCCTCCATCCCCACGCCGTGCGCATCTTTGGGGATTCTTTGACCATACTTCACCGCATTGTGCAATGCTGGTTTGGTGAAATGGGTTGTTGGCTGGGTGGGGAGGAGGTCAGATATCACTCGCCACTGATGTTAGCCGGGGATGGAAATCGAAACCGAGTCGCCGAGTTCGTAGCGCAGTGCACCAATCACTGCGCCACCCCTCCACCGCCGGTAAGGTACGCAGCGTGGACTGTAACAGGGTTGCTAAACGGTAACCGGTAACCTTTTTCGAAATTGAGAACCGGTTCAAAAAGTCAGGAATCGGTAATCGTCTCCAATGGAATGTTCGTAACGAATGCGCCGATTGGCACACGCGAACGTGCATGTAAGTCACCACATGGCAGACTTCTCCTTGTTTCTCAGTCAAAAGTTAAAGGTGCAAGCCCTGCAATTTCTTTCTTGCGGTGGCAATTTTTTGTTAACTACTGCACCTGGTATACATGAGATCGTGGGTTCGATCCCGAGGCTGATGCCTGTATTTTTGCATGTTCTCCCCGTGGTCGCGTGGAATTTTTCTCCGCATCCTCCGGTTTTCCCCTCCGCATTTAGAAACATGCGTTGAGAGTATTTGACTGCTATAAATTTCGACATGATCAGCCGCTTCGTTGAGCTATTATTTGTGGCCAGGTCTCTTCTGAAAAAGAGCTGTATAGTTCAGCGGGCATCGCCTAGAACAATTACAAATAAAAATGGTTAAATAGTTTGCTCGCGCGGCTGCTGACGGAAGGGCCTCTACTAGAGGGAGCTCTACAGCGGTATTTGGTCTACTCTTCCCTGCTGACCAGACGTGTTGGAAGTGTTGGGAGTGCTCACACGTTACCCCCACAACACGCGATCTGCCGCTGGAGCGACTAAATGTAGCGTATCCACTTATACTGCTTAGATGTACAAACGGCAGGGGGGGGGGGGGGGGGTGCATTTTAGTCGACGTGGAGAGATGAATCGACGCCCTCTGGATTGCGAGGTGCAATCTGCCCTCCCTTCCCTCCCTCCCTCCCTCCCCTCCCTCCCTCCCTCCCTCCCTCCCTCCCTCCCTCCCTCCCTCCCTCCCTCCCTCCCTCCCCTCCCTCCCTCCCTCCCTCCCTCCCCTCCCTACCCACTGATGAATGCGAGATCCCAAACAACACGCGCCCTGCACACTTATGGGACGCGCCTTCTGGGAATTGTCGCGTCTCTGTGTTGATGTGTTTATTGCCCCGAATGCACCCCTCCCCCCACCATTCGCCCCCTCCCTCCCTCCCCCCTCTCGACTTTGTTAACAATATCCGATGCAATCTTCTTCACGGGATGCAGGACGGCAGACGTCAGCTGTATTGGAATCTTGCTGCAGGTAGCTAATGAAGGAAGAAATTATTTGTTCTGCTAAAATTAGTCGTGCATGCGGTGAATAAAGCAGCGTGTTAGCGAAAAAGAAACTATAAAACTAAAACTATTT